CTGACTACCTGACTTACTAGCTCCCGACCGTCTGCTGACCCCGCCGCAGTACCTGTACATCGAGGACCTGGCCTCCACGCACGGGACTCGCGTGAACAACGAGATCGTCCCTGCAGGGACAAGACTGCCTCTCAACCACCGAGACGTCGTGCAGCTCGGGATCGGGTTCCGCACGGGATTCGGTACGTCACATCTACGCATGTTAGGAGAGGAGCACCGTGACTGACAGGAGGCGTTCGGGACGGTAACAGGATGGATCAATCCGGTGCGCATGCGAGTTGAGTTCGATGGTCAGGCCAGTGCTTTGAAACCGCTTGCCGCCACGTTCGACTTCGAGGGAGCCTACGACGGCGCGCTCAGACGCCTGCGCGTGCCATGCGAGCGTTCGGATCTGCAGCATGGCAGCAGCAACAGCAGCGACAGCAGCGACAGCGGGGACAGCGAGGACAGCGGTAGTGACAGCGACAGCGACGGTACGTCCGTGTCGCGCGTGGCAGAGAGCAAGCCGACGTCGACGCTCTCCTCAGCGGCGTCTGGGCCGTCTGCGTCGCGCAGCGACCTGGGAACAGCCGCGGCCGTCACGCCAGATCTCGCTGGTGGGCCTGCGCCAGGTTCGGACTGCTCACCGCAGCACCTCCTCTCGGCGCTGGCTGAGCTCATGCAGACAGTGCACAGCTTCCGAGAAGACGCGACAATGCCTTCCCAGTGCCGGTCCATGCAAGACGCACTCGGCAACCACGCCAGGCCGATCGAGCAGATCCTCGCCGAAAACCCGGGCTCCGACGCTTCGGCCTGGCCTGCAACGCCATTACGCGATCTCATCGGTTGCCTACGCCCCCTCCCAGCCGACCTGGTTGGCTGCGCCCTGGCTGCTGGCGCTGAGACCGGCCTTGGAGCCTCCGGAGAGAGCCACGCCTTCCGCCGCCGCGAGCGCGAGCGCGCAGGGACAGCAGCGGAAGAGCTCACCGTCTACCAGTCGGAGTCGGCAGGTCGCATTCTGGAAGACCTGGTCCGCATCCAGATGAGCTTAGCAGACGACAACACGACTGCGCCCGCGGTCGCAGACCTGAGCACCGTCTGCCGACGGCTGACGTGGGACCTGCAGTCGCTGCATCGGTGCGTCTCAGGCAGGCACGAGCAGCCGTCCAAACGGCTGAAACTGTCGAGCTCGCAGCCATCGGACTCGTCCAACATGGGCACGACGCTGGGCAACGCGGCGGCATTGACAGCGTTGGGCTCGGTCGCGTTTGCAGGGGGCTTTGTGACCGGCGGCTTCACGATGCTCGATCGTTTGGCGCGGACGCCATAGTACTGGTTCGCTTGAGCCGCGCTGCGTGCATATTGCCAGGATTGTTTCACAGGCACATCGCCGTCTTACTGCGAATTCGTACTACATACTCGTGGTGTACTACATTGCCTGGTCGCAGTCGCACTGGTGAAGATGCTCAGAGGTCGGCTAATCCACGCGTAGCTACCTATACACCTGTAAGGCAAAACTACCTCTGAATCGGTTGTATAGTGTAGTGGTTAGCACATCGGATTTTGATTCTGCCGGTTCATCTCGGTTTCAAATTTCCGATAACCTGGGTTCGAGTCCCGGTACGACCTGATTAATCTTTTTGCCGTCCCTCCCCGCCTTCGTCTCTCAATGCAGCCAGAGAGTCACGTGACTGCTGCCCGCCCCCTCCGACTTCCCGATTCGTGCGTCATGCCGCCTCGCGCGCCTCTCTTGCCTCAACTCCCGACGCTCTGACGCTCCGGCGCTCTCACCACCGTCAACCTCTTCCCGTCCCTCCCTGCTCATCCAAGAGACGGACCGACGGACAGGACAGCCCATGACAAGACCGGTCGAGACAAGACACGAGACGAGACGAGACTCATCTACTCGCCCATTGCACCGGGCACACCACCTCCCGCTCCACTGCTGTCCGTCCGTCAGGCGACGCACCCTCTCTCAGGCCATCCCGTAAAGAGAGGCGAGGCAGGCATTGGCTGAGCTGAGCAGAGCAGAGCAGACAACGGCGTGGGACGGCGGGCTGGAAGACGCTCGCATGCCTGACCCAGGCCTATGTCCACGGATTGAACGGCCCCCGCCCTCGCACTTGCTCTGCGAGGCATCCGCTGGCGGGCACTGCGTTGGACGGGCCGGTGAGCAGACACTCGCGCAGACGGTGTGAGGACTAATTGCCCAGCCTGCGACCACCTGGACCTGGCGTCATACACACACCCACACACCCACACGAGTCACAGGCTGCCTGGTGTCGTCCGCAATTGTGAGCAGCATCGTGCTTCAACTTGCTTTCCGCCCGTCTTCACTTCCTCCCCTCGCTCCCTCAATCCCCGTACTCAACCAACAGAGTGCCCTGGCTCTACCTGGTGTAATCACTGCCGCACGAAGTCAGTGGTGCTGGCAGGCGGCGCCCGGTGTCCTGCGCGCCGTGGAGAGCAGCCTGCGACGCTGTGGCAGCCAGCGCCGGCCGGTCTCGCTGGGGCTGGCCCGTGGCTGCCCACGCCGTGAACACGGCCAAGGCAGACGGGCAGGAAGGCAGAGACGGCCACGCGCGCAGCCGCGCCTGCTGGGACGCCGTGCTGCTAGGCCTTTGCGCTATAAAATTTTGTTACTTTATTAAATATATCTAATAAATTAGTTTTAAATAATGATAAACTTGCTTAATTCTGCAG